CACAACTTTATGCAGCAAAGACAATGAACAATCCATTATGCATGCACAACATGGAAGATCCTTGCCAGTGTAATACCGAATGAATAACATAGACACTAAGAAGTGCACAAGCACTTACGTGAAGTTCAAAAGTTTTATAGAAACCTAGTTATTGGAAGAGAAAGTCAGGGGCGTGCCGACCCTAGGGAGGTGGAGTGACTGTTAGAGAGCACAACAATGTGTTGTCTCTTGATCTGAGGAGTTTTCCCTTGAGTCATCTGTTCTGTGAAAATTCAGCAACACAACCACATAGGATCTGTATGCTTTCAAAAAAAAACATAGGAATGTCAGGTTTAATGCAAATTTCACTAAAAAGTTCAATAACTAAATGTAATTAGCAGTATCCAAAAGACCAATAACACGAAATGTCTAAGGATGCACAGTTTGGCATTGAGTCCCATGAAGTAATTCCAAAGCCTCAGGTGTTAGTGACTGAAAAACTGGACTTGCTTCAAGTTTCTGGCCATAAATCTCAGAAGGCCCTCCATGCAGCCAGATAATCCCACTAGACTTCCTTACTGCATCCGCGCTCCCCCTGAGACAGCCTAGTCACACCTTGACTTCTCTCCTCACATTGCCAACACCCTCTCAGCTGATGATCTCACCACTTACTTCATGGAGAAAATAGATGTCATTTTTTTTTAAATGGCAATGGGAAACACCCGGCCCCACCTCCACCGCTGTCAGTCCACCAGCTCACCTCACCTGCCTTTCAGCCTAGATCTGTCACTTTCCCTCCAGATGTATTTTCATCTTACCCCACCTCGGCTTCTTGAGGACTTCAGAACTGTCCAGACCTCTTTCCCGGTACCAATTTCCCCCTCGTTTTGGAAACCAGGCATGCGCAACATGCTGATGCCGAAAGAAGTTTGCCTTCCATACGGTGTGTTCTTGTAGCCTCTACTCCAGTTCTCTACTTCCCTTCAAAGCAAAACTCATTACAGGAGTCACCAGTCACTGCCATTTCCTCTTCCACCCATCCTCTTCTTCCTCTACCCACTCCTACACACATGCTAAGCATGTACTCTGCCCCCCCACACACACCTCCTTTTGGCTTCCACTGTATCACACTGCCCTGTCATTCTAGACTTTTATCCCTCAGCACTGGCATCCAACCCAGGGTTTTGTACATGTACATGCTAAACGAGCTCTACCACTGACTTACACGTAGCACTAGGGATGTTTTGTTTGTTTTATGAAGCAGGAGTTCTCTCTCTCTCTCTCTCTCTCTCTCTCTCTCTCTCTCTCTCTGTGCGTGTGTGTGTGTGTGTGTGTGTGTGTGTGTGTGTCTAGTCCAGGATGGCTGCAATTTACTGGTGTGAAGCACAACATCCAACTCTCCTAGACTGCTGAATGTTCTTTTTCTTTCTTTCTCTTCTATGAAACTCAAAGTCGGGCTCCCCTGGGCTTCAGCACCAGTTTGCTCCCTTCTGGGGAATTCAAGCATGCCTAACCATTGGTACCTTTCTGCAAGTACCATGCTCCTTCCCTGTCTCTGCTGTCCCTAGCTCCAAGGTGTCACAATGCCTTCTTCATCTTTCTGTCTCACATCTTCATCCCCAGCTTGGGCTTTTCTCTTAGGCTTTCGCCTCACACATCTAACCCATCACTCTCAACACTCATCAGACACCTCAAACTTAGCAGGGCTCAAAACAGAAAGCTAGGGATTGTATTGCCTTCAGATGACAATGTCCACCTTCCCAGTAGCCTTCCGTATTTCTGTAAATGTCATCACCTGCTTTGAATTATTTAAGCAAAGGAACCTGCGGGTCTGACATGTGAATTACTTTTTCTCATAACCTGTACCTAATCTACTCAGTAAGTCCTGTCAATTATATTTCCAAAATGAGTTAGTTCAGAATCTGACCATTTCCTCCTTATTTCTAGTGCCCAGTACTAGTTGACTAGATAGTAACTACCTTACCCGTCTAAACTTGCCTCAAAAGTGACTTCACAGAAATGTATATCAGATCAGGCCAGTCACCAAAAGTTCCCTACCATGAGTCAGGGCGACAGGAAGCAGCCCTGAGGGTAGAGTAGCAGAAAAGTGTGCGTTCGATCTGGGAAGGAAAACAAACATGGGGGTATAGAGGCACACACAAAAATAGGAAACCTTTTTCCTTTGAAATACCTCCAGGCTGGAGCAACCTTAAAGGGGGGGGTGCACAGCATAGTTGATATCACTGGGATTCTTATCAGCCCTTCTGCCCTCCCAAGAGAACCCCTGCAGACACACATGTGTACAACCACAGGCTTTTCATAGCTATCCGACCCCCAGGGACATGCTTGAATCATACATGGGGTTGGCGCTGGAAGTCAGATAATTTTGCTCAGGTGTTACTTTCCATCTACCCAGGGAGAATCGTCACAGAACCATTCCAGGCTTTCATCCTGCCCTCCTCCTAGTGAAGGGCATCTGACATGGCACGCCAGTCGAGGGCCTCCAGCTAGGCTGACTCCAAAGCGTCTGCAGTAGTAACCTCCTCACAAGTTTCGGCTTCTACCCCTCCTGCTTCACTTCCCCACTCCCTCCATGTGCTTCCGTGGACTCCCTCTCAAACTACTGGCATAGACAGCCCTGCCTCAGGCTCTGAAGTTTGGGAAAGTCAAATTAAGATGCAAAATACTGTACCTTTACTCTCAGAGGTTATGACAAGAACATAGCCATCCTACATTGAGATGGATAAGAGAAGAGAGAAATCAGGACACCAAGTATTAAGAACGCATTTTAGGAAAAAAAAAAAACTGAAGAGGCGGGCCAGTGAGATGGCTCAGCAGGTAAAGACACCACCAAGTCAGCCTGGGTGACCAGCCTTCTGTCTCTAGAATGTACACAGTGGAGGAAGAGAACTGAGTCCACAAAGGAGCCCTCTGATCTCCATGTGCCCCACCCCACCCCCACATCATGTACACACACAATAACAATAGCAATAGTAGTTAATAAAACATTTTAGAAGAAAGTATTTTAAATGATTAATTTTAAGATCTTCCCTGGATCTTAGATTAGTCCATCTTTATTTATTCGTGTATAAGGATACATGAACATCAATACACTAATGATTCCCCTAACTTCATTTTCCATCCGTTTATACTCTGATAGTGAAAATGGCTTGACGGGACCATTAGATCCTAGATCCATAACTGCCTACCTGGTGCCACTAATAGAAAGGCAAGTGAGGAGTGCTACTTTGGCAGTGTAAACTGTGTTTAAGAGCTATGTTTGTGTCACACGTGCACGTGGAAAATGTATGCACCATTCAACCATTCAACCGTCTGCAGAACTTCCCTCCAGTTCTTTTGAAGTGAAGTCACCACTCCCCCCTAACCGCACTACCCAAATATCAGCACTGTTGAAAGTGAAGGGCCTGTCCCTGCTGGGTGGTTTGGGGTAAAAAGAAGGCAGGATTAAAGTGCTCATTTCCAGTCCCAAAAGTAAAATACGACTTGGCCTAGGGCAATCCTAATTCTTTCCAGAACTCATCCCCGGAATTGCCCTTTTAAACAACTAGTCATTAACCCAACTCCAGGTCTTTTATAGCTGCGAAAGCTGATCGGGCACATCATTTATTCATTACGCTTATTATTATTGTTATTGCAGAAAAGCAGTGAATTCCTGGGGCGGGGTTCAAAGGGTTCTTCCAGAGAGGAAAGGGTGAGGGAAAGGAATGGCTAAGCCAGCAGGCTAGGCCAAGAGGCCCGGCCAAGAGGCTGGACTGGGCTGCCCAACAGAGGTGCAGGGAAGTCCTCCTGGGAAGCACGCTGCTGAAGCTCCTCTGCCTGGTGCAGCACTCAGTGACCACCTCACACCGGAGCAGCCACTGCAGCAACAGAAAGGGCTTCTTACGTAAGTCATAACCGCTGACATCACCTTCCCCCAGAGCATCTCAACTGAACCAGGAACCAAAGGACCCACGTGCCAATCCAGTACTCTTGTCCACCGCCTGAGTCGTTTTCTAAATGATTCTGTCGCTGCCAGGTTTGGGAGACCGTGCCCCAGTGGGGGAGGAGTGAATGGCCCTTAGAGTAGTTAACAGAGACTACTTTCTAGAAGGTGTGCAGTGTTGCAAGAGTGAAGTCAATGTGCAGTGAAGATGCCCAGGGGGTCTTCTAGATCTCCTTCCTCACCCTCTCACTGTAACCTGCCTGGCTGAACTGGTTCACACCTAAGTCTAGATTTGTGCGACAAGGAACTAAGGCAGAGGAAGAAGAGCCTGCAGGATGCTCAGAAGACAGATACTCCAAAGAGGCATTCATTAAGAGCCCTAGGTTACTCAGGACAGAGAAGACGGTCAGAGATCTCTTTTCCACCCCCAGGCATTCCTCCCTTCCAGTTTCTCACTAAGGCCTTTGCTGATCCCAGGGTTCTTACTAGAGCACTTTGGAGTTTATTCTAGGCAGTCAGCCAGTGATGCTGGACTAGGTCACACACCTTCCAAAGACATGAGTCCCGGGCACCCGAGGTCACAGTAAGTGTGACAAAGCAGCTTGTCTCCCACAGACATCTTAAAAGGACACCCACTACTGAAGCCCCCAATGGTGTAACCCAGTAGCTGGCTCCTAGAAGCTACAAGAGTTGCACCCCTCCCTCTTCCCAAGGACATGAAAGGCATATATGTCCCAGTGGTAAATGACAGACTCTCTCTACCTCTTGTCTGCTTCCTAAATGCTTGCTTCCTGCCCGTTCTCAGTCCCACGAATGTCTATGAGTTGAGAGGCCGTCCTTTTAACTTTCTACTCTCGGTGCCTGTATCCCTGCATCGGCCAGGGGCCACCCTACTACTCAACCCAGGTTGACTGGGGTGGATCTCAGAGCGGAAGAGGGGAAAGAAAGCAAGAGTAAGGTGCAAGTAGCAGCAGGCGCCGCGCCTCGGGGCTGAGATTGCGGCGAGGCAAGTGGGGACTGCAAGAGGGTGCGGCGCTGGAGTCTAGTACCCTGGAGGATGGAAGGCGCTGGTACTCACGCACTGCCTCCTGCTTGGGGTCCAACGTGCTGAGGACGCGCTGCACGCTGCCGAGCTTGCCCTGAAGCGCCCAGACGCGGCGGTGAGTAAGCTGGATGTCGCTCTCGAGCTCCTGGAAGAGGCTGCACGCGTGCCGGGCCACGTCCGAGAGCTGCCGGAGGACCCTGGCCAGCGCAGCGTTGCTGACGGCGCACAGATCTAGCATGAGCAGCATAGCCTCGGCCGCAGCCGTGGACGCTTCGCCCGTGGCCGATGCTGCCTCCGGGACCCCAGCCACGCTCTCCTCCCCGGCCTCGCGCGCCTCGTCCGGTGGCTGCTGAGCCTGCTCGGCCGGCGCCGGCAAAGACGGCAGAGGTGGTGGCAGTGGGAGAGGCGCAGGGGGCACAAGGGGAGGCTCCTCTGACCCCGGTGCCTCGGCCTCTTCCCGCCGGTCAGGCGGCTGCAGGGGCGGCGGCTCAACGCTACCTCCACTCGTGTCCTCATCTGGGCCGAGAGCCGGGCGCCGCTGCCGGCAAAGCCACTGCGGCTCCACGATCCGCTTGGCGAAAGGCATCCCGCACAGCCGGGCCGCGACTTTCCGTTCTCCTCTGAGTGTCCCTTGTAAGCTAGGGACCTGGCGCGCCCACCTGAGCAAGAAGAGGGCAGGAGTCCGGCAAGGAACGATCCGGGCTGTCCAGACACGCCGAGGGCTCTTCTGCTCACCTGGCCTCCTCCTCTTCTCCACCCTCTCCTTCACAGCTTAGTCCGACCTGCCCTCCTCCGGGTGCACGGCTGTCTAGGAAAGATGACAAGCGCTGGGCAGAGAAATCTCGGGGTGTGCTTGGGTCCTCCTCACTTGCTTCCAACCGGGGTCAGCTGGCTCAGCTCCATCGTTCCTGAGCCCGTTGCCGCCGCCCTGGCCACTGCCGCCGCCTATATAAATGGGTGTGTGTGTGTGTGTGTGTGTGTGTGTGTGTGTGTGTGTGTGTGTCCGCGTGTGTATGTATGTGTGTGTGTCTGCGTGTGTGGATGGGTGGGTGGGTGGTGGGGTGGGTGGTGGGTGTGAGTGTGTGCGCGCGCCTCAGTTTGAAAGTACCCCGGCGCAGGCCTCTCCCGCGCGCCCCTCGGCCGCTCCGGGGAGCGTTTGCGCCTGGGATCTCTCTCCCTTTCTGGGCGGGGAGGAGGTTTCGGAAAGGCGCTCTGAAAACCCGGACAGAGGAATCCGCCTCCAGCCCTGGCTCAGGAGGCGGCGCGGGGGCGGCGGGGCGGACGCCGGGCGGGGGAGGCCAGGGC